ATCCAAACAGGGGGAGAGTTAGGCTGACCTCTGCCACTGACAGGCTACTGATGGAGGTGAGAAAAACAAGTTGGCTGTCTTGGGAGGCATTGAGTTCCTTGTTTCTGGAGGGTGAGATAGAGGCTGGATGACCACTTGGTAGTTTGCAATTCTAGGAAGGATTTCTTTTGCCATAGTGTGAGCCTCCGTTGCCCCACGCATTCCCAGAGGCAATGTTTGCTCTAACTTTTCTCGTGGGGCTCAGGGCCTCTTTGAGAGGAAAGGTAGGGAATGGCAGCTGTCTTGGCTGGGCTCTGAGACACATGGAAAGCCAGATGCCAGTGTCATGTGTCCAGACAAAGCATGAGGCACCAACGTTAAAGTGAAGCTCCCAAGGTAAAGAGGGTGGTGGGCAGCTGCCAGGCTGCCTTCTTGTCACAGAACTTTCCAGAAGAAATATTTTAACTACTATTCTCCTGCAGTCAGATCTCATCTTGACCTGGAATCAGAGGACTGAGTGTTACTGAACTCAAACACAGGTTCATTTACCCATTGCGCAGTAGGGCCAATAACTGAAACACCAGGCTTGTGGCAAGGAAAGAGGTTTACTATTATCGAAAGGCAGCCAGACAAGGAGATGGGAGTTAGAACTCAGATCTACCTCCCCATAGGGAAAAGTTATCTGGGGTTTTAGGTAGGGGAGGGGGAGCATGTGGCCTTGCTGGTTGGCAACTTCCCACCAGCCTGCATTTGGCCTTGATGAATCTTGACATCCAGACCTTAATTTCTGGGAAAGACAGCTCAATCATATACTAAGGAGGGACAGAAAGACCTGGTTAGTTTTGAACAACAATTGATTATGTTGCATATGCACAGCTGCAGTAGCAAAGCTTATCTCAAAGATTTTGCTCTAGGGAAGATTTTTTAACCTCTTAGTTCTTGATTTCATGAGCACACAACTTCTGCAAATCAGGATTTCCAAAAGGGTAGCTATTTTGTGGTGCAAACTTTGGCCTTCTTGATTGACAAAGGCCTGTAGAAGGGCCTGCCTGGATGGGCCTCTCCAGTAAGCCGGCTCCTCTCTCACCCTCTCTGACATCCTCAGTCCTGAAGCACCAGCTTGTCTACCACAAGGCGGTGCTGGATATAGTTCCTTGCAAGAAAATCTAGATTCCCTAGGGCTTTACACAGCTCTGAGGTGTGCTCGGAGCCTGGAGGGTGGGAGGCAAGGTGGGGAGGCATGAAGCTTGGCCCTTGCCCAATTTGAGTGCACTAGGTCAGTTCTGTACTCCAAGGACTCTTAGGGGAATCACTTTGGGAACAAATCTTGTAAATCCTTATTCTTTTGGCTTTAATATTCTCACAGAAGAGTTTAGGGAGCAGAGAAATAGAAAGAGGGTGCAAGGGGGGAAGCCAGAGAGGTGGCTCTAGCAGGATTCTCAGTGCAGCTCTGACTGAGAGCACATGTTCAAGGCCCTGTGCTGTGGCAGTACAGAGATGACAAAGCCACCAGCCATGTCCTCCTCTCCCCCACTAGTGTACAGTCTAGTGATCCTGGCCCTGCTCTAGCTAATCACCCTACAATGAGGTCCTTGAACCCCTAGGGATTCATAAATGTAGTAATGGGTGTTCTGAGAACAATTTTCAATATTTTTACAAACCTAAAGAATTGAATGTATTTACTTGCTATAAAGGATCAACAGCTACTTACAACATCACCTTTATTTGATTTTTGGCACTAATTATATCACATTGATGAATTAATCCTGGTTATCTCATGATAAAATACACAAATTATTACTAAACTAAAATAAACCATAGTATACTTGGCCAACTAAATCTTTTAAAACATAGTATGAACACAAGGGGAAGGATCTTTGCTTTTCAACTTTGTGTATCTCCAATGCCTAGAATAAAAGCCTGATATATAGAAGGCACTCAATAAATATTTGTTAAATAAATGAATTGGCTCCACAAGAGGACAAAGAGCGAACGGGTTCTTGGTAGTGACAAGATTGGGAACCACTGATGTAGTTGTCTTAGCTTGCTAGGGCTGCCATAATAAAGTACCGCAAACTGAGCAGCTTAAACAACAGAAATTGATTGTCACACAGTTGTGGAGGCTGGAAGTCCGAGATCAAGGTATCAGCAGGGTTGATTCTTTCTGAGGGCTGTGAGGAAAGAGAACATGTTCCATGCCTCTCATCCAGCTTCTGGTGGTTTGCTGGCAATCTTTGGTGAGCCTTGATTTGCAGAAGCATCCCCCTGATCTCTGCATTTCTCTTCACATGGCATCCTCCCTCTGTCTGTATCTGTGCCCAAATTTCTCCTTTTGATAAGGATGTCCGTCATATTGGATTAGGGGCCCATTCTATTCCAGCATGACCTTATCTTAACTAATCACATCTACAATGCCCCTATTTCCATGTAAGCTCACATTCTGAGGTACAGGGGGTTAGGAGTTCAACACATGAAGGAGAGGGGGCACAATCCAGCCCATAACAGTATTCTAAAGTCCTCCTGTACAGATGAGGAAACTGGCCTGGTGAGGGAAGGGACTTGTCAGAAGTCACACATTTATCTAGTGGGGCCTAGTTCAACTCTTGCCTCCCAGGCTGGCACTTCTACACTCTCACATTAGCAGCCTGTGTGGGAGTTGGTGATAACTCAAAAAAGAACAATTCATAAATGAAATTTGATGTGGACAAAATGCCTGGCTAATCTCATTTAAATATTAGTGTTTTTCTTCTTTTTTTATAAACTAAAGCTCTCATACCTCTTTTTCTTGCTGACTTCTACACTCTACCAACATTTACTGTGAGGTCCCTGAGGTGGAGATAGAACTTTTAGAGTAAACTCAGAAGCTGTAAGAGAAAGAAAGAAATTAGCCAGCACTTTGGCTCCTCAACAGGTCTTGAAACCTCTTACCTGCAGCTGCTGCTAAAGAACTAGAGGCCAGGGGAGCCCAAACAGAGCTGTTGCCATGGGAATGAAATGGCATGTCAGGGGATTCAGTCACTACAAGGCAACCATAAGTAGTGCCTCCATTATTCCCCTGAGAATCAGAAACGATTTTCAAACGGAAAAAGCCCCAGTCTGGCCCTTCACTTTAGTTGAGAAAACTGAGAGCTAAAGATGGAAACTGACTTGCCCCAAATTCAATGGGTCAGTGATAGGATTAGAGAATTTATAGTTTCCAACTCATCAGTCTAGTGTTTTGCCCACCATATTGTTTTACACCTCTGTACTATAAACCCAGTGACATGGAAAGTGTACAGCCCAAGTCAAATTTGGCAACATCTCCCAATTTGCTTTATTGACTCACAAAACCATAACTCCCCCTCCCCCCGAGCCGTCCTTCTTTGGGTGGCCGACAATGGGGTTGGATGGGAATAGCCATGCTTGAAACAGCAATTGGTACTTTCTGAAGCCGATCCTTGCAGAGCATGGCAGTTTAAAAACTAAGCCATAATGAAAATAGAAATAAGCTCCACAATACAATCAACAGAACTCATGCTTAAAAAAAGAGAGAGAAAGAGAGACAGTAACTGGCTTCTTTATAATGTGAGGTGCAGTGTCTTTTTTTTTTTTTCTAAAAACACAAATTGGTAAAATATGTCCTCTTGTGAAAAAACTTAGTTTCATTTCTAGAAAAAACTAAGGGGTTTTGGCTGGGGGTTATTTTACTAAAAACCACCTCTGTCAGGACCTCCTGGGAAATGAAATGCAAGGGTTTTTTTTGTTTGTTTATTTTTTGATGTTTCTTCCAACAGAAAATTAACTAATGTATTTAACATACGCTTATTAATGATAGGCAAGTTTTACTCAAGGATGTGAATTTTTCCTTGAATCCTGCCTCTTCCCATTATCTCATTCACATTGGCCGCTGGCCACCACCATTGCCCTACAGCATGTGTTTGGTGCTTTATTTTACAGAGTTTACTCAAAATTCCTATAATTTATATATCATCCCCATTTCATAGGTGGCAAAATTAAGGCTAAGGGAAATTTCAGAGTTGGGTGAAGGCCTCACAGTGCCCCTTGTCTCCTGACTATCAATCCATTTCCCTAAAATTTATGTCAGGCCACCTCTTCCAGCTCTATTGCTGAATAGCTAAGCTAGGATCTAGAGCTACTGAAGGGGCTTGCTAACAGATTCAGGGAATGGCCGTGGTCCCTGGCTGAGGACTCTTCTCAGCCACCTGGCTCCATAGGATCTGGAGCCTAGAAGTTGAGACCTATAGTGCACTAAGTAGAGCCCATGGACCTTCTGGCGAAGTGAAAGTGGGCACCAGTGTTAACAGGCCCCATGACTTGCCCAGCCTGGTGCAGGGTCAGCCTAGGGTCTGGTAACCCCTGGCACATCACTGGCTTCATCACATCTGGTAAAGGGCCAGATAGTGAACATTTTAGGCTCTGTGGACCATACAGTCGCTGTCACAGCTACACAATGCTGCCATTGCAGTGTGAAAGCAGTTGTAGACAATACAAACGAAGGAGAATGGCTGAGTTCCAATAAAATTTGATTTATGGACACTGAAATCTGAATTTTATATAATTTTAATGCGTGGCAAAATAGTATTCTTCTTTTAATTTTTTTCAACCATTTAAAAATGGAAAAACCATTCTTAACTCACCGGCTGTAGAAAAACAGCTGGTAGGCAGGGCTGTATGTATTTGGCCGTCTGGCCAGCTTGCCAAGCTCAGAGCTAGATTCTCTCTAATTTTGCCCTAGTTCTGGCATTAGGTGGTTCTTATACCCCTAAGGGTCTAGATGAGGCCCAGAGAGGGATTAGTAAACTTGAACTCAAACCCGGGCTTCCTGCTGCCCAGTCCACAGCCCTTAACTCTGCTCTAAGCTGCTGGTTTAGTCATGATTTCAGACGTAGTCTTTGTATCCATGTGGTGCAGAAAATAGATGTGTGCTCAGTGGCCGTTTCCAGGCGTTGACCATGTAAGGGCTGTCCTCTTATTAGCAGCCAGTGGCAACCTAATTTTGTCAAGCCTGACCCTAAGCTTACGCACCCTTTTCTTTTATACCTCTCTCGTGTTGCGCAGGCCCGGGAGGCCCATCTGTCCCTTACTATTTGAGTCCCGGTTGTCTCATTGGCGGGTTTCTGAGCAGCTGCAAAATATGTTTTTAACTTTAAGTGGAAGTTGGGGTCACCGGCCTCGGGCCTGGAACAGTCACTCTCAGCAAGTGCTCTTTCAGCTCTGACATTCTCTCGTTTGACTGACTTGGGTGAGTGTTCAACTAACTCCTCCCAGTTTCCCAGGGCTGGACTTTCACTGCGGGCAATAATTAATGAGGCGTTTGCTCAAGGGCTGGAGAATAACGTGCACTGCCTTTTTGTGTTGTTGTTGTCGTCGGAAACTGCTTGGTTGCCTAGCACCACAGTCGTGCCTGGTCGTCCCTTCCTCGCGGCTCATCTGCTCTGGTCGCCTCGCAACGGCAGCTCGGCGACAGCTGCCGGGACGGGAACGAGAGGTGCTCGCGCGCGCTCAGGGGGCGGCGGCCGCGCCGCCGGCCCCAGGGAACCATGCTGCGAGGCAAGTCCCGGCTCAACGTGGAGCGGCTGGGCTACTCTCCCGGCCTGCTCCTTGAGTCCAGACCACTCCTGGCTGGGCGCACGCCGCGGAGCCCCGGCCGGTAAGTCACGTGAGCGCCCGCGTCCGCGCCTGCGCCCGCGAAAGACTCGCGTCACCGCGGCGCGCCGCGCCTGCGCGCTGCCTCCCGCCGCCAGGCGCTCGCCGGCTCTTCCGGTGCGGACCTCCGAGCGGTAGCCCGCGGAGCCGAGTCAGCGCGGCCGCCGAGCCTAGCCCGCCTGCTGACACCTGCTGCGGGCGCGGCGACGCCATGGAGCGCCTTGATAAAGCGGCTCTGAATGCGCTGCAGCCTCCCGACTTCAGGTAGTCCCGAGCGGGGCCCGGGCTGGGCAGGGGCCCCCACCGCGAGGCGGGCCGGCCCGGGCCTGGAGCGGGGCATGAGGGGAGGCCCGAGCCGCACGGGCCGGCCTGCGCTGGGTGTGAGGTCTGGACCCTCGGGGCCGGGCTGCGGGGTGGGGGAGAGGGGAAGCAGGTTGGGACCTGCAGCATCTGCACGCCCGGCCCCCCGACCCTTCGCTCGGGAACAAGTGACCCGAGGTCATGGGGGATGGGTCGGCAGGCTTTCAGCTCATGCTTCTGACCTATCACTTCCTTTTGCTGTTGTCTATATTGCGATCTTGCTATTTGCAATCTCTCTCCCCGCTGCAGGGTGAGCTCCCGGAGGACAAGAACCTGGCCTTCTTTATCTCCGTCTCCCTTACAGGGCCTGCATCATCAGGGCTTAATAAATGCTTGCTGTATGAATGAACGAATGAAAGGGAGTAGGGGCTGTCTCTGGTTTGAGAATGCTTCATTTGGGGAGTCAGAAGGATGGGGGCTGGAGGCTGGGGGCTGAGTAGAAGGAATATGAAGAGACAGCAGGTGGTTCCGGCCAACCAGCCTAGCCAATGATACCTCGGTGGGCAAGAGGGTGGAGAAGGATTTGGCTATCATTTAATGATGACCTACTGTGTACCAGGCTAGACTTAGGCGCTTTATTACATACGTTATCAGAGTTAAGAAAGTGCTTAGTTTCCTAATTTTAAAGAAGATGAACTTGACTCAGGATAAGTGACTTGCCTTAGATCACACAGTTAGGCCACACTATTAGTAAGTGTTGAAGTTGGCTTTTGATCAAAGCTGGTGATCTTTTTCACTGTCTCACAATGTCAATGTAGGTGTTTTTTATTACAGGTTGCTAGTGAGCATACCAACAGATATTTTTATTAAGTACACTTAGAATACAGTATAGCCCTCCTAGACTGATTCTGGTGTTTCCTAATGGAATTTGCAGTGAAATCTCCTTTCGGTGGAAGTCTTGCTTGCCGCAAAAGGGAATGGTGGTAAGCTCTATCTGCTTAGTGTTTGCTGCAGAAGTTTATATGAAGTGGGTAAACTCTAGGTGGTTTTAGAGTGGGGGCACAATAAGGTTCATCCTGAATTCTTCCTTTTGTGTGAGGCTGACTTTAATTCTGGATTTTCTCATTCTTCATTTCTAACAAGTCTCAGTATCACCCAATCAGAGACACAGAGAAGAAATCAATTGAATGACATCAGTTGCTTTGTTTTAGAATAAATTACCGGTTATACCCAAGCTGGCAGAATTGCCAGCTGCAGTGGGCTATGGCTGGAAGCCGAGGAGAAAATGTCCTATAAACACTAAAGGAAGTTTGCTAGTTTTCATAAGTTTGTATGCTTAACTTTATACTTAGTCCAATATTTGTGAGGTCGCAATCCAGAATAAAAGTTAGATTTTTGGAGCTTAAGGTAAAGAGAGAAGTGAGAAGGAGTTGAAGATAAGCCACAGATTGTTAAAATATGCTGGTTTGTAGAGTGTGTGGGGCTAGAAATTAACATGCAGAAAAAAAAAGATTGTGCTTGGATGGTGGGCTTGTAAGTGATTTTGTTTGCTTTAAAACATTTTTATGGTATTATATTGTCTTTTCAATAATAAACTTTTCTCAAAGCCACGCCAGATAATAGATGTTCAAGAAAAACAATCTAAAGAACAAGAGAACCAGTGAACCCTCCCTTTCTGTAGATTCTCATGCTTTGTTTCTTTATAAGTTAGATCATCTGAACTTGGCATACCTAAAACACATGTTTTAACTCACCATAGAAACACCCTGAAGGTCAAGTTTTTTGTTGGGGTCCACAAAAGAAGTGGCCAAATACTGACTTTTTGTATTTTTTATAGAATTACTGCAGACACTCATATTCTTCATGGAGATTGCACCATAAATTCCTCTAAAAATTTACTACTAGGAAACAGTTTAAGGGAGCTTATGTGTATTAGATGAAAATTGGATAGCTCAGTGATCACCAAAGTGGGATATGTTAAAAAATGATCCATTGAAAGTATTAGAACTTCTACACAAATTTATTTTTAACCTTATCCTTTTTAGTATCTGTTTTTGCATGTTTTATATTTTAAAGAATGTATCAGTAATATACGTATAGATAATTTATTTTAAAAATTAATATGCCTATATGGGGGTATGTGCTCAAAACTTTTATCTAATGATGGATTGCACAGTCAAAAAGGTTTGTAGAGCATTGATATAAACTTGAGATGTTCCCTTCCTTTCTGGGCTGCCAGAAACCTCTCAGCTAATTGTATACACAGTTATAAGAACTCCTTTGCCTAGATTTTCTGGGAATACAGAGAAATGTGCAGGACTATCTAGGAAGCCAGCTGTCACATTAAGTGCCATAATAACAGGTATGAACTAAGAGTGATTGGATCTCAGAGCAATGAATCTTTCCAGCTGGTGTAATCAGGAAAGGTGCCTGGAGGAGAGACTACTTTTGGGGGACCTTGAAGGCTGAGATGTCTCCTTCCTGAAGATACAGATAGAAACCAGAGCCTCTAGCTGAGGATTACCAACAGGAGAATTAAGTTCAAGTGTTGACTGTGAGCATAAAGTTAGAAGTGCATTAAGGTAGTCTGAGGATGGTTAGATTTAAGGAAAAAAAAAGGTCCTTAAACTAAATGATTAAAGCTATAGGGCTTACCACTTTTATGATATATGAGATATGTGTGTGTCCAGGGTTGCTGGAAGTATGCTACAGCTTCACTTTCAGTAGTGTTGCTCCTTTGTAACAATGCATAGGACAAATGCTGACATATATCTACTTATTGAAAAGTCAGTAAAACAGCATTAAGGAACATTTAGAAAATGGGGGTAAAACTTTATTTTTGTATGTTAATCTGGAGTCGTTATTCACGTGCACACATTTTTAACATAATTGGAATAGTATGCATCAGGAGTTGGCAGAGTTTTCTGTAAAGAGCCAGATAGTAAATATTTTAGATTTTGAGGGCCATGTAGTCTGGCGCCACTACTCAGCTCTGCCTTTGTAGCTCCAAAGCATTCTTAGAGGATACATAAACCAACAGGTGTGGCTGTGTTCCAAGTATACTTTATTTACAGAAATAGGCGGTGGACCCTCAGGCCTTATTTTGAAGACCCCTGACATACATAATACATTGTGATCTTCCTTGTTCATTTGTCACCTGAATATGTTCTGAGTAATCGTCAAAATTCTTTTTGACGTCTCCGTATAGTGATGTACGTCATTGGTGAAATCATTTTCCTATTTTTGGACATTTTTGTTACCCAGTTTTGTTTGTGCTATTATATTAATCTTTATATTGTTAATGTTTTAAGTAACAGTTTATCAGACTTGTTTAAGTATATAATTTTAAAATCTTGATTGCATTTTTCAGAATAGTTTTATCATATTCTGGAACAAAACTTTTTCCACTGGACTGTTTCCTTGATTTTAAAATAGTCTATGGACAAATAGAATTCACTGAATAGAAAGTGTTTTGACATCAAACTTTTAATGCATCCATGTTACATGAAGGCCATCTCAGTTGTACTGTAGCAATTTAATTACAAAGAAATTTGAGTATGTTTCTTTCAGCTGCATCTCAGATTGTTCTAGTTGATTTTTCTTTGGAGATTCTCATACCTTGTTTGTACTGTATTCAGCTAGCCATTGATAGGATGCTTTGTGAACGAATGTTCATTTGTTGTTTTCTGTGTATCCTCTCTCGCTCCCTCCGTTGTGAATTCTGTAATTACAGTGTCCATTTGCATAGCGCTTTGGAGGTTACAAACCACTTTCACACTTTGACACTCCCTCTCACACTGAATCTGAATGACAGTCTCTCGGAGGTGGACCTACAGCTAGGTCTCTAGGATCTTCCAATTTTGAATCCCTGACTCTGCTCTTCTTCCTTGGGCCACTGCTTCCAGGGCAGGGGCAGGATTTCCAGCATCTTCTCTGTGGGTGTTTATAGCGCTTATGAATACAAGAACAGTTGGAAATGGCTGCACAGGTTCTGATTTTCTCTCTGTTTACTTTATTCCAGAAATGAAAGTTCGTTAGCATCCACCCTGAAGACGCTCCTGTTCTTCACAGCTTTAATGATCACTGTGCCTATTGGATTATATTTCACAACTAAATCTTATGTTTTTGAAGGTAATCCTAGACCATAAAAACAAGACATTTTCCCCCTTACTGTATTTAAGATTCTAAGCTTTTATGACCTCCTTATATCTGTAAACTGGGTATTCTTAATTTTGCTTCTCTGTCAGTTTTGTTTTCCAAAAATCATGTTGCTCATAATGAGTCTTACTTAATGAAATGAACTTTTCTATCACTCACTTATTTCATCTTGCCATCATATGCATTTATGGCTTTCTGTGAAATAGTTTGCAGATCCTTTCTTTTAATATCCCTTTGGAGTTGGCTGACATGGGAGGAGGAATTTGGGGGAATGTACCCTTGGTGGCAGACATTGGAGGGAAGAGAAAATAAAGTCCCCTGTTTTATGTTGACGTCCTTAGATTAAGTCATAATTATGGTTTTCATTCAAAATAGTGTGCCTCATGGGGTCAGCCCGGTGACTTAGTGGTTAAGTTCGCGTGCTCCACTTAGGTGGCCCAGGGTTCAAGGGTTCCATTCCCCAGCGTGGACAGACGCACTGCTTGTCAAGCCATGCTGTGGCAGCGTCCCATATAAAGTAGAGGAAGATGCGTACAGGTGTTAGCCCAGGGCCAGGCTTCTTCAGCAAAAAGAGGAGGATTGGCAACAGATGTTAGCTCAGGGCTAATCTTCCTCAATAAATAAACAAACAAACAAATAAATAAATAAATAATGTGCTTCATGTATAGAAGGTATTCAGATCTTTAACTGAATACTTGGTTTATCAACACCCAAAGTATTACTTTTTAACTGCCTGACTAGTTAAATCTATAGCTAAAAAAAATTAGTCTGCTTTATTTTTTGTACTTTGATAAATTTTGGAATAAAATGGAAACTTTTTTTCTTTTGATAGGAGCCTTTGGGATGTCCAATAGAGACAGCTATTTTTATGCTGCTATTGTTGCAGTGGTCGCCGTCCACGTGGTGCTGGCCCTCTTTGTTTATGTGGCCTGGAATGAAGGCTCACGACAGTGGCGTGAAGGCAAACAGGATTAAAGTGAACATCACCTTTTGATAGCATTAAATTGTTTTTTAAAAATGGCAAATGCATCTGGGATATTGATGATTTCAATAAAGTTGAAGAACCTGTTAAAATCAATCTTAAGGAGTCACGTTTGACTAGTGTAAATTTTGATCCTTCTAATACAGTGGTTTGTATCATCAATTTTAACGGTATGAGTCTCTCATTTGCAAATGAGAATGTGGAAAAGTTGAATTGGTTCAAATAAGTATGTTAAATTATTTACACATTATTCTGGGAAGAATGTGATTATCTTAAAACAAAAGATGTTTTATAGCATTTTGTCTTTTGGTTGGTTTTGAGTTTTACTCCTCTGGATATATTACGTTGTACACAGTGAAGCAAATCTAAACTTTATTTTTCTCTGGAACTCTTTCCCCAGCTCTTGAATACCAAGTAATTGGATTTGGGGTTGTAAATTCCTATGCAAAATTGTTTAAATTGTGGACGCTGGAATTAATCTGAATGTCACTGAGAAATTTCGCTTGAAGTGTAATCCCTAGTCAATAGTAATCTTTCGTTACATTATTTCATGGGGAAACTAGGCTGAATCACACTCATTCATATGAAAGGACTGGTTTATTGAAGGATCTAGATCCCAAAGCAAAGAGCTAGCTGCCTGGGTACGCGGCCTGCTTCCTAGAGGCTGCTTGCAGGCCGGCCTTGTGCTTTCAGACCAACTCTAATGATCTGCTTTGCTCTGTCATTCAACAATGAAGTTAGGTTTATGTACACTCCCTTTAAATTGTTTTTCCTAGTTTTTTATAATGTACACGATAGGAATTTGCATTTAAATGAGTTCATTTTTGCATACTTAGGGAGTGTAAACAATCTTGAAAATAGATTATTTTTATCACCCAGGAAGTATTCTCCTTGGGAATTCTAATCTAGTCTTTTTAATCAGAGCTGTTATATCCCAAATATATATACTTAGATAATCCTTGAGGTCCTTTTTGATAGAAAAAGACCCTGTGGTTTTACTTTAGTATCCTTAGTCTGTGTTCTTTCCAGCCACTTGGTATACTTGTGTGCAATCTAAAAAAACACTGGGAAAAATAAGTATTAAAACCGGAAGAAAATTTAAATTCCCTGTAATGTTGCCATCTGGAGATAACTACTAGTTTGGTTTATATCCTGTGTGCATTTCTTAATGCTTGTTCAATATGCACTAAAAGTTTGGTTTAAGTTCAAATTCTGCCAACTTTACGTGACAGCTGTTTGCATTTTTTTAGTTGAGTGATTATTGGCCATTTTCTAAAAAAGCACCTTCTACCTTCACTCCTTTACCTAGATAACTCATTGATCAAATGTCCTGTTATTGATAATTCCTGATACAACGGCCCTTGCTGTGTTTGCCATTACTCATTTGTTTGTTCGCCTCTATTTGTCTTATTGTGGAACTGTACTAAAGTAATAGAGAGATGGTTAGGGCTAAAAAAGGCAAGTAGCATTTGTTTTATTTAATTGTTGAGGAAAAAATAAAAGATTATTGTAGAACTATTTTTTATTATATTAGATGTCTACAGTTTAAATATCTTCTTTAAGCAGTTACTCTAAAGTGTTTCTTGAAAACAACTACAGTTTTAGTATAAAGTTGTACAAATTTAACATAAAATTGTAGAATATGCCAGTTTGAGTCTGGGGTACTGTGTGGTAGATTGCTAGATGGTCCCCCACTTTAGATGCCTTGTCATACTTAGAATTGTTGTCCACCTAATTTCTTTTTCTACAATGCCAAGGTTTTTCTTGTACTTTTGGGATCTTATGCTATTTGTAAAATATTAATGTGCAGTGTTAGATTATTTTGTTTGATTTCAGACATTTGCTGAGTAGATAGTACTATGGGTATTTTTCTGCAAGTATTTAGACCAGAGATTTATGCAAAACCAGTTATAATTCTTTTGGAAAAAGTACCAAGTGTTTGAAAGTTAGCAATGGATGCTAGGGTTGATATTTACAATTATTACCATATAGGCTTGTTTTCAAACCAGTTAATTTTTTCCTAGGGTTTTAACTGTTAACTCACTAGTTTGCTGCTGTTGAAATAACATGTGTATTTGACACAGAGATTTATGTCTCAAGATATCTCACTGATTTCCTCTTGCACAATGTACATACTTCAGGATGTATAGAAAGGAAAGCTACAATTGAGCCCTTATAAATGTTTTAAGGTAGGAATATGTTCATTATTGTTTTAAAACTGATTGTAAGAATAATAACCTCAATTAGGAAGTGTAACTTCAAGTGTCAGTACAAGCTACTGATTTACATATTACCTTCCTTACCTCACTTCTCATTTTGCCCCCCCCCAGAATATAATGTTTTTTCTCCATTGTGCTAAAAAATGAAAAGTCTGCTGTAGACTGCATCTGATGTCATTAGCTCTTCGTGTGGATGCCATTTTACATGTAACAGCAGAATTCAGTTTTGAGTTGTTACTGAAGAAATTTACTTTCCATTAAAAAATACTGTATTTCATGAGAATCTAAAAAATATAGTGTAATAATTAGACTGTTTTCATCATAAAAGTCTCATCAGTTGCCAAAAGAGGCAACTGGTTGCTTTGTCTCGTGTTTATTTTCTGTTTTCATATAAATTTTATATATACAGCTACAGTACCCAAGGAGGCCAGTACAAGCAGTTAAATAAAAGGAGTACCCAAGAGAGGTGAATCACAGCTGAAGGTACATGAAACAAAGGATTTAAACCCTATTTTAAATGTATCTAATGTGTATTTCTCGTCTCCAGACAAGTTCCTGTTTATTTTCTTTATGCTCAAGTGAAGTTGTAGACTGTTGTTAGGCCCATTTTACAAATGATTCAACTATGGCGCAGAATTTGTCCCTTGTCTTAGGTCAGTAGCAGATTTCTCTGCTGTCAAGCACTCTGTGTCCTCTACCAGAGTAATACAACTTCATTAACTCAGACCCTACCCTCAAGTTTAAGATAATATTTGCAGGGGCTAGGCTGAAGCAGCACCTTAATAACTTGACAAGATTTCTTTTTCCTTTTTGCAGGGGGGAAGGGTCACCTGGGAAAATATACTCTTTTCAGGGACTTTAGGAACCTAACGATAAATATTACATGTAATCTATGACTAGCTTAATCCTTGATGTATTCATTAAAACAGTCGGGAATTCCTCAACTTACCATCACTCCTGGCCAAGCTTTCCTTGCCTGTTTCGTTGCTATGTGTACTTGAAAGTAATATCTACGTAACTTTTAAGATGTTCTAAAACTCGTATTTGTCAGTTACACAGACTAGTCTTCCTTTTTCGCAAGTTCAGTGAAATCTCACTGAACAGTAATAATAGCAATAGCTAACAACATCTGCACAGCACCTTACAGTTTGCAAAGAACGTTCACATATTCTTGTTTGAGTTTTGCATAGTGAACCCGTTACGAGATGTCTCTTGACATCGATGCTAAAAGTGTTAGAATCTTTAAATCACTAGGCTCATTGAATATGCTGTAGTCTTGAATAGTGCCCTGACTAGGGGCGGGGTTTAGATACGCCATGTTGAAAGCTGTGTGTAATTATCAAAAGGGGGGGCTTGAGTTCCTTGACCACTTGAATCCGATTTACTTTTGTAAGTGATGCTTTTCTAACTGTTATCTGGATGGATTTTGTATTCATTATATTCTAGCCTGTAATTTGTATAAATTTACCATCTGTTGTCATTAAAAAAGTGTCATGCCACTTTGATGTGTCCTGATTCAGTTAATAGTTTATTAACCTCTTCATTCTTTTACATTTGTTTGCCTCTTTGTTTATACCGTATAGAATATGTACAGAACTGTCAAGGGTAAGCTTTTATGCAGTAAATGTAGACTAGAGAGGCTCAAACTGGTGGGGGGCTGTGAGGGGTGCTGAGACAGGAAGAGCCAGTTATACTCCATCTGCGTTAGGCCTGTCAGAATTGGTGTGGCAGTGGGGAAACGAAAGCAGCTCCCTGCCCTGTGGCTTTTTAAAAAAAATTCATTTGGGGATGAATGGGCTTCAAATACTGCTAAAGGAGTGGGATTGAGAAATACTTATGGCTAATTAGTTAAACATGGGGGTAATCACTTCTTGGCAATGTCCAGCATGCCACCCCCTCCTGCCAATACCCTGGGTCCTCTGTCCTCTAGCCCCCTGTTGATTGTACTGAGTCCAGCTCCTTTCAGTGCTTCTGACGGCTCCAGCTAGTTCTTATTAATAAATACTATATACTTCCAAAAAATATTTGAGACATCTTAGTATCAGAATATACAGATTATATACAATTGTGTTTATATACAAAGCTACAGATTCTAAGATGTGTAGTTGCACTGCAGAAGCCACTAAAATCACCTTGTAGGATTTACTGCCCAGACCCAACCCAAACCTACTGAGTCAGAATCTCTGGGGGTGTGGCCTGTGTTTGTAACAGGCCATACTCTGATGCAGCCGATTTGAGAACTGCTGCTAGAGCTTGAGAATTGTGTGTGTATGTTTTTAATGCTGGACTTAAAGATATTTGTATAAAGCAGGCCTGAAATAGCAGGCACTTTATTAGGCAAAGATAGAATCCTTCATGATGCTATATTGAAGGTTCGGTTTAACATCAGGAGAACTTTACTGGGTCCCTGACCACCCATATTGACCTTGCTTCACTGTTAATGAATTATATTAAATGAAAACTGTAGTACAGGGGATAGCTTACTTAGAAACAGCTTAGGCGTGCTGAGAAATGGCCACTGCTGCTCCGCTGATGCCTTTCCCTTATTTGAAATCCTCACTGCTGTGGTCTTTGGAGAGAGAGAAAACCTAACAGGAGTTTAAATGAATCTGGTTTCAAAAGTAAAGTAAGTAATGGAGAAAACCGGAAATGGTTTCCTAGGCATATCTGCTCTATTAATAGTATGACTCTTTGCCTCCAAATATTTTTGCTCTCATCTTTCATCTTTCCACTTCATTTGGCACACACCCTGCTGCTTTGCCCAGTAAAGATGCATTTAGGTTAACCCTTGTAGAAAATACAGGATTTGGGTGTGGAGCCATTGCTCACAGCCTGGAGACTCAGTTGATGCGTCCCTCCAAAGGAGCATCCGGATCCCCTGAGGGAATGGGTATTAGGAATTACACTCCCTGTATCGGTCCACTTCTCGCCATTTCACTGCTACCACCTGGGTCTAGGCCAGCTTCACTCCTTGCCTGGTGCCTCTGACTGCTCTCTGCTGCTCTTGCTCATGTGGTCATTTTGCCACAAAGCAGCTAGAAGGTTCCTTTAAAAATATTCGAAGAAGCATGGCATACCTCTGCTCAAAATCTCCAAATAGCTCCCAGTCTCAGTCAGAGTAAGATCCACACTCCATATGCAGCCTACAAGTGAGACCACTTACAGTCATTTCATTTGCTTCCCCCTTGCTCAACATTTGCTAGCCTGCAGGACTTCCTTCTGTTTCCCAAACCACCCATGCTCACTCCCACCTCACAGCTTTGCATTGGCTGTTCCCTCTGCCTGGTCCCCTCTCCCCCAGATGTTTCCAGGGCTGGCTCTTTTTCCCCCTTCAGGTCTCAACTGTCGTGTCACCTTCCAGAGAGGCCTCCCCTGACCACCTAATTGAAAGTTGCAAATCCCCTATCGCTCTCACAACACATAACGTTGGATGAAATTATCTTGTTTATTTGTTTATTATCTACGTCCGTTCACTAAAATGTAAGCTCAGGAGGGTAGGCACTGTCTTATTCACCACTGAATCCCCAGTGCCTAGCACTTTTAGTAAGGATGTTCTTGGTCAACTGCAAGTAACAGAAAATGCAGTTCAAACTGGCTTAAACGATGGAAAAGGCCAGAGATGGGGCTAATCCTTTGGCGTGGCATAATTAGCATTCCTGCTCCATTTCTCTGCCACTCTTTCTGCATGTCCTCAATGTGTTGGCGACATCCTGAGGCTTCCCTTCCTCATGATAACAAAATGGCTGCAGCCATTCTGGGGCTTCATCAGTATACCACACACAGTCATCCAACCACTGAACAAAGCCCATCGGCTTTAGTCTGCACTAACTCAGGTTACATGCCCACCCGTGAAACAATCACTTTGGCCAGGCAATGCCAAGCATTGGTGGGTTTATGCCTGGACAAATGCCCAGTCCCAAATCAATCACTTGAGGGTTATACTGGTTAACTTAGACCACTCAGTGCCCACCCCTGAGGGAGGAGTTTGATGCTGGTGAGGCTCCCAGCAATGTTCACTGCAGGGCTCAACAGATTTGTTAAATGAATAAGGCAATATGCAGTATGTACATATATATGTAGATATGGATATGGCTGTGGCTGTGGATATGGATATGGATGTAGATAGATATAGATGTAGACATAGACATAGATATGAATAGAGGGATGAGAGGCATGCACTTGGAGCAGGGAACAAATGTCAGTGTCAGGACAGGGCACGGCCTAGGGCAGGGCCATCCTCCAGAGGACCTTATGGCTGCATGAGGGCTTGGCCGCTAGTAAGTGGCAAGGTACCAACACACTCCCTTTGTACCAAATTTTGTCAGCTCAGCCTCAGGAAGAAGACTGAAACAGTTAGAGGGTCATCAAATTCTCTCTCCCCTCAGTATCTGTGGCTCTCTGTTCCCAGGAATCTGTACTCTGCTCTGAAGCCCTAAAACACACCCTCTTTCTCAACCACCCCCCCTCCCCCCACAGCATCTGTGGTTCTTTAGAAACACAGGTACACCTGGGAGGTGTGCTCTATGCCTGTACACAAGCAAAGCAGCAGTGCGGCTGGGTGTGCTCTTCTTGGATATGGCACCTAAGGTTTCCACGTTTAATGAGGTCTCATAGAACGAAACATTTGGAATCCTTCAACTAGGATCCCACTTAAGACATGTCTTGCAGACAATAGTGGCGAGAGGCAGCCTGGCACCCGGGGTGGGAACACTCGCCAGTGCCCTGCTGTGT